TGTTAACATTTCACAGAATTTATTTCATTTTTTAAGCAAAATTGTATACAAATTCTTTGATCCATTTCTTTTAACGAACGAAAAATCGCCGAGCTGATAAAACACGCCTAACCTTAGCGGCTGCCACAGACAAAGTAAACAGCTAAAGTTTTTATCATACTTCGGGGGCATGTATACCAACATAATAAAGACAATTTTATGACAACCGGACCCTCCGAACCCGCGAAATTGAACAATTCCCGTTATTTTCTGAACACACCTCGTATTTTAAACAGCATATTGGTTATAATATTTTTATGATTTTTCTAGTACTTACGAGACTCTTCTGGCAATAAATTTTGTTTGACACCAAAGAAAATCCTTTTTTTCTTTTTTAACATTAACAGCCGCTTATTGTAAATAAGTAAATTAAGGACGGCATGGCGAATCGATTTTGACATTAACTGTCAAACCAATGACTGTGATACCAACTATCTAAAGTAAAATTCGACCAAATTAAATTTAAGGTATAAAATTAATTTTTTTTATAGATTTTTTTCAAAATAGATAAATATACTATTATAAAATCTTGATGTAACTTCATAATCAAAAAAGCATAAAACCCATTTCGATACAAACAAACTAAAATAATGAATAATTCATTTTGCGCGATAGCGTACATAATTTTTCCAAGGATAAAAGTAATATCATACGAAATAGTTTTATTTGTTACACGATTTAAAAGCTTCTAAACCTTTTTCCTTATATTTTAACGCGATAACGGCCGTTTTATCAATATCCATTGTAACTACATACGGGCGGAAAGAGTATTGTTTTTAATAAATTTTATAGCCCTATAATTTTACTATGTTTTAAACGTTATAACATGTATGGTTTTATATACGGTAACCGCAAGATTATGGAAAATATTTATTACAAAAAATTCTAAAATTTTAATAATTTTTGGATAATGTAGATACCTGTGTATTCAGCGACTTATACAAAAAATATGGAAAATAGAATACCTAAACTTAATATAAACTGACTGTGACAACATAAAATAAACATAACAAAACATAAACTTCAAACTGAAAAATAAAATTCGTAAAGCTAATTCTAATAATATTGAGAGATATAATTCAACATGAAGTGAGTCTTCATGATGATATTTCAAGCGGGAAATCATTTCATTGGTTATCTTAGGTGGTGTGATGCTTCACACCAAAACAAATTGTCCAATAATGCAAAATTTATATTGTAACTTAAAGTTATACTATATACTATATTATATATTTATACGAATTATTAAAAAAATTGTACAATTATTTTTTAAATATTTTTAACAATTGATTTCAACTCTTTTTTTGACAATATTGTGCAAACAATTAAATATAATTATTTTCTCTGTATAATTTTATAATTTATTTGAATCTCCAAAAAAGTCAAATTTTTCAATAAATTTGTTTCATAATTTTGCCGGCATTGTATATTCATACCTATTAACAAAATTTAACCTGCATTATTATTATTAATTTCCATTACTATCATTTTTTAACTATAATTTATATGATACCGATTAGAATTTAACATATTAGAATAATAATGGTGTTTACCCAATTTACCTAGGTAATTTACTTCACTATCATATTTTTATACATTCATATGACACCATTATTTTATTAAAATTATAGGTTTTTACAAAAATAATTGGTTAATTATTATATCTACTATCGTCAAAGTTCTACATTGACAATGAACGATTTTAATGAAATTTACAAAGTTTTGTAACTTTATTTATCGCCTTTATTGTTTTAAAACGTCAACGTAAACCATCGTTCCAGCCTTCTAGACGAAAATGACAGATTGATAACACCCCGTGTAGTCTTAACAATTTTTTACTCGAAAACTACACTGAAAAAAATAAATAAATGAAAATCACTTTGATTTAAAAGATTTGCGCTTTTGATAGATAGGTAGAGATATTTTAGCGCAAAAAATGGGATTTTAACAAGAAAACTGCATCTTTTAATTGAAAAGCTTATTATTATGGTTGTTATATTAACCTATACCTACATTTTTATTAATATTATGGAAAATTTGTACACGTGTGGTAAATCCCCGACATACAGCCGCCTGACGCCTCTCTACCAATGGGATCACCCATTTTTTATAACAGAAAAATGGATTACTGATGAATTCTCAAGATAATTCAATGCTTACAAGTTGACAGCCAGTAAAACATTGCATTGATCTAAAACTTTTACGTTTTAAGGAACCATTTTGCTTAAGCCAGCCATACGACTCAAATATAAAATTATATTTTAGAAGGCACTGATTTTGATAATTGTCATAGATTTTTGGTCCAAATAAATGTTTCTCTTTATTTGCCTTTTCGTTTTATTCACTAGGTACCACCAATAGGTTTTACTCAAATAATAGTGTTAATTTACACTAGAAGTTTGCACTAAAAAAGTAAAAGTACCTTTCTAAAATTAGAACTTTTCCAAAATAGTGTTAATGTTAATTTACACTGAACTGTAGTGTTAATTTACACTGAAGTGTAGAAGTACACGATTTTAGATAAATTAACACTTTTTAATACAGTGTAAACTTACTTTATCCTCAGTGCTATAGTGTTAATCATACTTGCTTACTTGGGGAAAATTACACTATAAATTAACTCTAATTGTAGTGTTATAAAACAACACTATTTAGTGTGGACCTGTGTGAACTCTAATTAGTGTTGCTTAGAGTTGATTTTTTGTGCACAACCGGCAAAATGTATATTATAAATACCTATAATAGAATTATAATATTATATCACTGCCCCTAGAAAATGGCGAATTGCAAGTTGCAATAATACAAAGAAGAAACATTCAAGAGATTTTGTATTTGTGTATTAACAAAAAAGAATATCATTTTGTAGAACAGTGTAGGTATATTATTATATCATTAAAATTTTTATGCAAATGACATTTTTTTAACTTGGAAATGGGTGTTTAGGCGCGTTATTTCTTGTTTGTTTTGTATTACCATTTAAAGTGCATTAGGCTGGAAATAGAGACAATCAAAAATGAGTAATTCCTGTTTAGATAAAGGCTGCAATAAAAAATAATTACGATTTCGGCAATATTAGATTTTTATGCAGTGAGTAAGAAATAAAAAATTTTAATGATGGGTATTCATTATAAAAACAATCACTGCTTTTGGTATTTAATACTTTTAAAGCTGAAAAATATTCTATGTGTATAATTAAGAGTCTCGGTCTTAAATGAAGAGTAATTAATATCCAGCAAAAAGTTAATTTTGAAATGGTAATTAAGTTTGAGATAATTTAGAACTGAGGTTATATGTTCCAATAAAAATAAAGTAATTTAAAAATTCAAACAATGCGTGATTAATCATGTTCAAATTAATTATATAAATTCTATAATCAATTTTATTCAAATGAAAGTTTTTTTCTTAAACTTTAATTGATTTTTCCATAAATAAGTGACGACCCAATAAATCAAATTTAAATTGTTAGAGCCCGGTTTAAAAATATCTTTGAAACCAGTAAATTTCTTTTGGTTCGGTGCTTTTAAATAGTACTACATTGTTGTAATTACCCACCGTGTTAACACCAAAAGATGAAAGAACATATCAAAGAGAAGAATAAATTATACCCACTTAATTATGAACATTGCAATAAAAGTTGCTTTATCGCTTTTCTTCCAGGGTTCAAACATTACACATAGCATTAATATTTCTGATCAACCAATTCGTTTAAATTTTAACCGGTAAGGCTTGAGGCCCAACAAAGTAACTTGTAAAGATAGATGATTCCGGCGGACAGATTAGTTAGCCAGGGTTATTAATGACCGTGTTTAACCTCGGCAACCCCGCCTAACAGCAACAATGGCAACGTGTTTAACACTGCACCACAACACAACATTTTGACACCATATATCCGAATCCAAAGCGTATTAGTTTTAAATGACCCCACAGAAATAGTCCAAGGGAGTCAAGTCTGGAGATCTCGCGGACATTTTTGTAGAAAATTAAACGCTCTACAAAAAAGGTTTCTTATGATTTTTTGCTAAACCAATTAGATAAAAAGTTATTAAAGATCAAAGTTCAACTCACCATCAAGTGTAAACATTTCAATTCAGTAAAAATCGTCAAACAAATAAGTCGTCTAAATTTAAACGTTTTTTAGAGAACTCAAATATAAAAATTGTTGATTTTAAGGTTATGTTTGTGCAAAAATTATTTTTTACTAATTTCTTGAAAATGCCCAAACTTAAATATAAATTATATTAGGTAAAGTTATCATTAGTTAATTCTGCACCAACAAATGTACTTACCGAATTGGATCCTTTGGCAAAACATGAAAATGCAACGATTTAGTTCTTGAATTTTATTACAATTAAAAACACAATAATTCACCACGATCCCTTAGATAAAACACACACTAACGTAACTATATAAGCATTTAAGCGTTGAGTTTCTTAATCAATGATAATATCATTGATTAAGAAACTCAACATCATTATGATATAAAGAATAATCAATCGAAATCGAGTACTAAACCAGTTTTTTAGTTTTTTCCTTGCAACGTAAAACACAAATAACGTGCGCGATTTAGCTGTGCAATTGAACAAAATTTGTTTTCATAACAAAAATTTCAATTCATAAAAAAAATGTTTATGGTTGAATACAACAATATAATTTTTGTTGTTTAGTTTATTTGTAATTTAATATAAAGGTAATATTTGTAACAAGATTATAACAATTCTAAAAGTAATATATAGAAGGTATTGAAGATATTACCTGTTATATACCTTAATATAAGTAGAAAATTGTAAAATATTTCTGCCCAGTTCTTAAGTGGAGTTTAAAGATGTCGGATCAAAAATATTTCGATGAAAATGACAATGATAGTCACTTTCTTAGTTTATTTACTGAGGTGAAGTAATTTTGCATTGATTGATATTTAAGTAATATTGACAGTATTTTAATTTTATTTTTTTATTTTTCAGTTGTATGAGATAAATGATGATCCAAAACGGAAAGAATTTCTTGATGATTTATTCTCCTTCATGCAAAAACGAGGTAAGTGCAGAATTCTCAGTAATTTTATTATTATAAAAATTATATGGCTCTTGGGACCCTTTTTCCACGAAATTCCGATTTCTCTAGCAGCGTTTACCTGCGACAATTGCATCCCAAAGTATTTATTTCACTTAACAAGACTTCACAGTATCAATTAAATCGTTTTACCCTTCCATTCGAACAACATCAAATTATAAGGGTCAGTTGATAAATGACGGCGTTTTGCTGAATCACCGGGTATCTTCGTTAACTACTACAATGATTTGGTGAATTTCACTGAATTAAACAGTAGCCGTATACCCACATAATTCAATAATAACTTAATAACAGAGGACCCAGAGTTTTGATACAACATGATTGCCTCAATTTGAGCCTTTGTAGATACCTGCCTTATTTTGATTTATCGAATTTTAAAGTGTACCATTATCTTTATCTAAGTGGTCCTTATGTCCCTTATACTCTAAAGAAGTATCGCTAGTAGCGCCACCAGTTAAAATCGTCAAACAAATAAGTCGTCAAAATTTAAACAGCATTTAGCATTATTAAAAGCGTTGATTAAGAATTCTTTAGTCTCCACTCAACGGTAAAATACCATTATATTATGTATTATATATAATATTATGTTGCCATATTCGTAGGTATATTTTGTTGTTTAAAATGCAGTTGTCCGCGTTTTTTTTAGAGAACTGAAATATAAAAATGGTTGATTTTAAGGTTATGTTTGTGCAAAAATTATTTTTCACTAATTTCTTAAAAATGTCCAAAATTAAACATAAATTATATTAGGTAAAGTTATCATTAGTTAATTCTGCACCAACAAATGTACTTACCGAATTGGATCCTTTGGCAAAACATGAAAATGCAACGATTTAGTTCTTGAATTTAATTTACAATTAAAAACACAATAATTCACCATGATCCCTTAGATAAAATACACACACTAACTAAGCATTTAAGCGTTGAGTTTCTTAATCAATGATATAAGGAATAATCAATCGAAATCGAGTAATAAAAAAGTTTATTAATTTTATTTCCACTCTAAAACACGTTTCTCATGAATTTCTAAAATTACCAAGTTTATCGCGTTTTATTTATCGAAATGTGCATCGGTATAATACTTATTGCAATTATTATTGCAATTATCTCTTCCTGTAACTAATTGCAAGTTGCAAGAGTAGGTACAGTAAAATTAAACTAAAAACTATACATTTGCTTGTTGTTCAATCGGTTAATCGAGTTGATAAGAGGGTGGTAAAAACTGTATCAAATACATATTTTTACACTGAAAAAAAATATTCTTGTATCAAATAAATTTATTTGATTCAAAACAATCTTTGTCTTATATATATTCATATATAATTCACGTTGATTTACATCAAGAATGTTTTCTTAATATAAGAAAATTAAATTTCCTTAAATAAAACTTTGATTGTTTAAAAAGCAAGAATATATAATTTTTGAAATAAGGCAGCAATATTTACTTAATTCAAGAAAATGTATTTTCTTTAACCAAATAATTGGTTGTTTTAAAGCAAGAATATGTTCTTTTAAAAATAAATTAGTGGTATTCTTAAATAAAAAAAGACACTTAATTCAAGAATATATTTTCTTAAAACAAAAACATGTGATATTGAAATAAGGCAATAATTTTCTTAAATCAAGATGTTTTCTATAACCCAATATTTTTTTAATTAATATATACACGATTTAAAAATTTAATTCATTGATTACAAAATAATATTTATTTTAAAACAATGCAAAAAGTATCGTTAAAAATAAAATGTATCTATCTTAATTTTAAGCTACTTTTAGCAATGTTTCAAAAAATCTATCATTTTGTATTTAAAATCAATACAATTTTAAATAATGATACGTCTATTAACTACAAATTATTTATTTTAATAATAAAAACATCTTTATATTTAGGAATATTACTCCAAAAGATAAAATTTAAAATAAAAATACTTCCAAACATGCACTTGTAATGTAATGTAAACTGAAGTAATTTTAAATATCCTGTAATTTTTTAAGGATTTTCATCTAATCTTAAACAAAACTTTATATTTAAACACTTACGGATTATTCAAAATTGAGCCAAACTTTTTGAAGGGCCAAAGTATACGTTGTATCGTTTCTAGGTGGCGCAGTAAGCAAAAAAATTAGGTTAGAAAATAAAAAAACAAACGTTGAACACATTTATTTTGTTTTTAATACAAGAAAAATCCAAAATGTATACATTATTATAAATTAACGTAGGGAACTTAATCGTTATTATCGACATATTTTTCATTTTAAATAATTTGTAATATTTTAGGGATAGTAAAAAAGCAATTACCAATTTTATAAAATAATTTAGGGCTATTGCCAATGAACTCCACCCTATATGAATCAAAATTAATGTTATACCCCAAAGTGTGTAATTACTTCTAAAACAAAATCTTTTTAAATGTCATAAAATAAATTAAGTTTATTTACCTAAAATTATAGAGCCATCCAAATCATAGTGTTAAACATATTAAAGATATTTTGGTTATCACTGCAAAGCCTATTTATTTATAAATAAAATAATTTTAAGGCATCCTTAATGCATATTAGTAAATATTTAAACAATAATCACGCAAATGCGACGCTAAATTTAAAAAAGGGTGGTATATCAATAACAACTTACTTACCTTAAATTTTTTTTATAATTTCCTTCGATGCTGACCACTCTTCTAATAATTTTTTAATGAAATACGCCCTCTCCCCCACAAAGAGAAAGAAACACGCTTGATTAGGCGTAAAATTTCAGAGGAACGTGTCGGCATCTCCACTCCTACACGATTTCAAAAATATGTATTCTTGGCAAAAGAAAATAATGTTTATTAAAAGGAATAAAAAAATTTAAAAAATCTAATTCTTAATATAACAAAAATGAACAATTGTACCAAGAAAACAACTAAGATTTCCTTCAAGAATATTTAATATTTGGATTGAAACATGCAACTTTTTAAAAGAAATGTTTCTTAATATTATCTTATTTTAAAGCAAGTTGACTTGAATTAAAAAAATATTTTCAAGATGACAGTTTTTCTAAATATAAGAAATCTTTTGTTTTCAGTGTAGAAGATAAAAATGATCCAATTTCTTCCTATAAATCGCAATCAAATAACCATTAACATCTTTAAAGTGGTGACAAAATAATAGAAATTAATTTGAAATTAATTACCTCACTAGGTATATAATTCGTTGATAATTTATGGCGTTGTAATTAGAGAAAGAGGGCCATTAATCGAGCATTCCTGGCGAGTTAACAATAAAACATTTTCCTGGAACGATTTGGTGTAGCAATGTTTTATTTTAATATATTTAATAATCCCACTCACGATATTATATTTGCAGATGTACTGTTCACAAAGCTCTGAATTATATTTTTACCACCAATAGACGATTTTTAGAGCATCCTGTTAAAAAACTTAGGTGTCATTAATTACCCCGCTGTCTAGATCTATTTTTAACCGATAATTATACCGTTCATATCTCGGATGTTTGTATAAAATAAATCCTTTTAAATTCGGGCCTGCTTTCCAGAATTCGGTAAATGAAATACTCGTGTCAAATGGAGGCACGCGTGTTACCATTTCTGTGCTATAATTTTTCTCGCTTAACCCCTGTCGACTTGCCTGACATGTCAGACGTGCTGTGATACGGGACACGCTTTTGAAAGTCTCCAAAATGTTTTTTCATCCCAGCTTTAACCTGTATCTGAGATGTATTGTAACAAGCAACAGATATAATAGTATATTATGTATCAAGTTTTATGAACGCCATTTTAGGTACGAGTTTTATTAGGCACGAGCGAAGCTTGCGAGCGAGTGTTTAATAAAAACGAGTGTCTAGAGAAGTTTATAAAACGGGTTGCATACTATACTTTATCTACGACGAACAGAAATAAGAATTTAAAGACAATTATATTTCATAAAATTTGACATTTAACAAATTTAACCTCACTTTTTCGCAATTTATAATAAAGCTAACTTCAGCCCGTGACTAAAATGCCATAAAGTCACAGCTCGTCAATGTAGGAGTAGATAAAAGATATAATTGCACTCTTTCAATTAAAACTAACAACCAGGTGCGAATCGTGCAAACATATTTGCTGAAACGCATTGCACTCGGTCATAACTTTTGAGACAATGTATGTCATAATAGTTATGGCCTTCAGACATTTGTCAATGGGACCCAGCTCGTTGGTCCGAGTCGTCTTGTTGTTGTTGTCGCAAGAAGGAGGTAAGAGGTCGTTCGGACACGTTTTACTTTCAATTGTTTTTGCTCGGCGCAGGCGAACACCTTTACGGGAGGATGTCGGCTTCATGCCTAATGAATTTTATAACGAACGCTGTTTGCTTTATTCGAAAACTCTGGGAATCAGGGGTTTTTAGATGTTGTTACAATATACGCTACTAATGGGGAAAAAGTCCATTTAATCATAGATTTTTTTCGTAAGCAACAATTTAAGTATTTGTTACGTATATGGGACTATTGAAGAAACTTTAAAATGTTTTGCGACAGTCTCCGGTCTCTTTATATTACTCTTTCATTACTAAGTTACGACTGAAGTGGGGAACAATTATTGAGTTCCAAAAAGGTAACAAATATGTCACTAGCTACTATTTGGAACGTAGCTGCTACGTTACTAGAACGTTCCAATATCGTTGCTAGAACGTTATAATTACTTTTATTTATTTGTTTTTACTTCTATATTAACTGTATTTGTCAAAATTATATTGGATTATACTATCCCTCCTTTTTTAAATGGAACCACCCCAAGTAACACTAGTACGTTTATACGACGTTTAATAGACGTGCTTGCGATGGTCTAAGGATGGTAGTATTGGCCAATTTGAACGACATAATTTAGACATCTAAGTGTCCGTCTAATACACGTATAATAAATAATTTCAAACTAGGTCAATAAAACATATATAGGTAGACATAATTTTAATAATGTATTAAAAGAA